TTCACCAACATTGAAAATAAATGATTAAATTCATCTCACAATACAGAGTTGGCTAGTTTTGTACAACTCTATTAGAAATTGTAAAACTAATAAGCAAAAAACTGGAGGCCGTGCACCTTCGTTGTCATCAGACATTACTGCGCTCTGCATTATCATTTTATAAATAGTTCAAGTTGGCTTCAAGTTATCAAAGTGGAAGTATAAAAGTGCGAGCTATTTGTAAATCTCTATAAGTATGAGCTCCGTATACACTGAGCGAGGTCAACTATATAAATGTATTTTGCATTGTTACTTGAAGCTAGCTGTAGGATGCCGGTTGGGGGCGTGGCGTGGTGGCGGGGGGGCGTGTCCCGCACTAGGGCGCGGCTAGAAGTTCTGCTGGCGCTTGCGCTTGAGATGAATGGCGTCGAGAATGGGGCGGCGCTTGCGGTCGTAGCGCGCGCGCAGCTGCTCGATCTCCGCCTCCATCTCCGCGTCCAGCCGCGCCATGCGCGCCTCCAGCTCGCCCTCCGACAGGTACGCCAGCTGCACAACCGACACCTTACACTTTACATCTTACACCTTACACCACTTCCCTTCCATCCTCTTTTATTTTACCATTCGCTTATGAAGGAACTGCAACTTATTGCATTTCAGTTTTTTTATTAATCAAAGATTGCAATAATTAAATATTTTTGTTTCCCCTCAGCTCCTCTTTCTCTTAAACAACAAACGGTTGGCAAACAATGTTCGAATACATACTATAATATACATCTAAATAATAAACATTTATCCCCGTAAGTCCGCAAAAGAGGGTGACAATATCATAATATATACAAAGAAATTCTTATAAATACAAGAAAAGAAAGATTAGGAATTAGAAGACGACACACAATGTTGTGGTTACGGGAGGAGTAAATAAATACATAAAGATATTAGCATCAAATGAAGTATTTGTTATTACAATGATAATAGCAACAAGCAGAGAATATTTTAAGATGATCAACTCAACATAGCTTGTGCGGGGTGGGGTGGGGTACACATATACAGGGGGGCGTGGCGGGGGGTGTGTGGGGGTGTTGCGGACTTACGGGCGCGCTGCGCGGTGGTGTGCGCGGTGGTGTGCGCGGGGTGGTGCGCGGTGGTGTGGGCGGGGAGGTGCGCGTGTGCGAGCGGCAGGAGGGCGACGACGTGCAGCTGACTTACGAATTCGAAGTTGCCCTCCTCGACGAGCGCTCGCTGCAGGCCCCCGCCCGCGCCCGCGCCCGCGCCCCCGCCCGCCGCGCCGCCCGCCTCCGCGCTGCAACATACAACACCGCACGTTAGCCGACACGCTCACCGCGGAGGTGTGGAGGTGGGGAGGTGTGGAGGTGGAAGGAGGTGGTGCTGACCGCGCTGCGTCGTCCGGGGGCGGCGGCGAGTGCGCGAGGGTGCCGTTGCTGGCGCGGCTGACCTCCTTCTTCTCGAAGTGCTCGAGGAAGAGCGGCCGGTACTTGGGGCGGTTCGTGTCCATGGGGTCCGTGTCGTGCCCTGCGGCAGAGATGGCACAGTGAGTACGGTGGAGGTGCGAGCTGAGAGCTGGGGGCGAGGGGATGGGCGGGATGCGACGGTACTGACTCTTCATGGTGGCGAGGTCGGGCTCGTTGATGACCATGGTGCCGAGGTCTGCGGCGAGGTCTGCGGTGGCGGTGCCGTCGCGCGCGGGCACCAGCGTGCCGTCGCGCTGCTTCATGGTGGCCTCGCTGTAGGCGTCGCCCTGCACACCGACACGCGCGTTACGTTACGTGATACTGCAGCACTGCAGCACTGCAGCACTGCAGCAGAAGGTCGCGCACTCACCGCGCCGAAGGTCTTGGCGTTGTTGCAGTTCTGCTGCGCGTTGCGGAAGGCCTGGCTCTCGCGGATCTCGCGCGCCTCCGCGATCATCGTGCTCAGGATGCTCGGGTGCTTCGCGTTACCTGACCATTGTGGACGTGTAAGTATTGCGTGACTGGATGCGTTCGAGCACAATGTCGCGGGAAAACAACTAACCGATAAATTCGTGGGTCAGCAGGTACTCGGCGGTGGCTCTCTCCTCGGGGTTTTTGACGAGGCACTGGCTGACGAAGTCTATGAACTCGGGCGACCACTGATCGGGTTCCCTGCGAACAGATCGAGCAAGTTTGAGCATGGTGGGGGAGATGGGGGGAGGTGAGCGAGCGGACGCGAGGCGGGCACCTGAAGGAGGGCGGCGGCTTTGTGGGTATCATGAAGATGGCGCGCATGGGGTGTATGTCGCCGTAGGGCGGCTTGCCCTCGGCCATCTCCAGGGCGGTGATGCCCAGCGACCAGATATCGGCGACGCAGTCGTAGCCGATCTCCTGTATCACCTCGGGCGCCATCCAGAAGGGCGTGCCGATGACGGTGTTGCGCTTGGCCATGGTGTCGGTGAGCTGTCCGGCGACGCCGAAGTCCGCTAGCTTGGCGTGACCCTCGGTGTTGAGCAGGATGTTGCCGGCCTTGATGTCGCGGTGTATCTTGCGGCGACGGTGCAGGTACTCCAGCCCCTTCAGCGTGTCGATGAGGATGGTCGCTATCTCGTCCTCGGAGAGCGTCTTCTTGCGCAGCCGCATTATGTCCGACACCGAGCCTGCGCCACAGTATTCCATTACAATCTGCAAAAACCATCGTACCACTTTATACAAGTAAGCCGCGTCTGCCGATAAAAAGTATTTTGATTTTAACGACTTAAATACATTGTTGGGATGTAATTATAGCACAGTTGTGACGGCTCACCCATAAGTCTGTGTTCTTAAAGTAGCTGCCGTAGTATTTCACGACGTAGGGGCTGTCGCATTGCTGCATGATGGAGATCTCCTTGATGATCTCCTGCAGGTCAGTGTCCACCGGCACCTGCTTGATGGCCAGCACCTGCCCGCTCTCCTTGTGTAACGCCTGCAACGCACAGTACATCTGTGTGAGAGAGAGCAGAACCACACAACGTTCGAAAGTTGCACAAATGAAGACAGTTACTTTGTAAACGCTGCCATAGGAGCCTTCGCCGAGCTTGCAGATGATGTCGAACACCTCTTCCGGCTGCCGCGTCAGACTCTCTTCTGATAGCTTCTTCAGTTCACTGAAACAACAAATAATACCTTATATGACCAATTTCACCTTATCTCTATATTAAAAAATATTGTATTTTTTTAAAATCTCAAATGAGACGCATTGGTTTAGCTATGTGATCGAGTGCAAAGTCAATGACATAAAATATAATCACATTCCGCCTACACACGTAGACGTATGATTTGCGCAAACATATCGGTCTTTGCGAACAATTGAGTGTGCCACACGTCATCCAATAAATATTTAGCCACTAACCTTTGTTTATGTATAATCTATAATTATGAAGTAGCACTATACAGTTAAAGCTACAGACCGATCATTGATCCTGGACTTCTAATCAAGAAACCGCTAGAAACTGGTTATCCCCTACCATAGACTAAGATAATAGGGCACAGAGTAGGATGTAACCACTTACAAAGCATACTACATAATCAGCTAAAGTCGATAATAATTACGTAACTTGCCCGCTCACTAAACATATCACATTAACAGAAGAACCATATAAAACTGATGACAATCAATCTGTGTGTCAGTGACCGCTTATCACGCTGCGTGGGTCCCGGGCGGACAGTTTTTATGTCCCCTTTGACATATCATTTGTCTATAATGTCATAATGTATTAGTGTATGGGTGGCATATACTAATATGATGCAATTTGTCTGACCTACTATAAATGGATATAGAAATAAATACAGGTTTTGTAAAATTGGCAATTTATTATCACAACTCTTTAGGTATCTTTAGTAAAAAGGCAAACGGCACATGAACAACCAATAACTGAAAACTAAAATTAAAATATGAAACCTTTCGTTAACAAAGAATACATAATTTATTAATAAGATATTATCAGAAAAAACGGAATGCGCTAATTGCAGGACAATGCGTAATCGTTGGCATGCGGGCAGTGAGCCTTAGCCGGAGCGAATCGCGCGACACGTGCTGTGCTCTGGTGAGACGGCGGGGGCCTGACCGGCGGGGGGCATACACCGCAACTCCGCACGGATAATTAACAACATACAGCTTTATCGCTCAGCCTCCGGGCATCATTGTTACTGCCGCTGCACACATTTGTTATTGTATTTTTTCTTAAAAACAAGAGTATGTTTAGAGTACGATTACCCAAACTAAAGATCGTCAACTTCAACTGTAACTCAAAGCAATTTGCCACCCAATCTTAGCTTAAAGTTTGGTTTAAATTAAATCTAAAAAGGCGAAAATACTGCCACCCGATTGATCCTCGTTTATATTATGATACCAAATGGTGCGATTTGAGTCGAAGTCGGTGAGGGCCGCAGTCATAACACATGTTTTTTCTATAAATAAAATCATCAACAAAACAAGAAATCCTCATAGTGTTAGGTTTAAAAATAAGTCGTTATATAGTAAAACACGGTTTATAATATTTTACTTCTTTTCCTTTAGTAGGAGTTTCGAGAATGGAACTTTAAAAAATAGAAACATTATTCAAAAAGGAAAAAAGAGACACTGGCAAAAGCTTCCATGCCATGTAATATGAAGAAGCAATTGTATGGAAGTGTTTCATGGTTTGGGTTACAACTATAGGTTAGAGCTACAGGTAGAGGAGCGGTATTCCGGACTAGGATGTTGCAGTGGCTCGCGATGCCGGCGACCGCTGCGGAAACACAACAGTATTTATAGACCAGACCGCACCGCCACGGCTGCCGTCGCGACACTTCCACAACATCTCATTAAGATGTTAAACATTATGCTAGATTACATTTTCATCTGTCAAGTATTATATTTCACCAGTATCCTCATCAACCATTGGGATGTGCAAAACCATTGTGTAAGGAGAGGATTGTTCGTAGAAAAAATCTAACAGAAGATGAAGTTTATTAAATGTGAGTTATGGCGACATGGGTGATTATCCTATCCTAATTCAGATTATTTACTTATATTTGAAGGTAATGTTATTTAAATCGTTACAAAGATAATCATCAAATTAATTATTGAAGCAAATTCAACGAGCAAACATTATGAGGCTGCAAGGTCAAGGGTGTTGGTCGTCGCGAGACCGGGTCATAGCGTAAAAAATGTCATACGACTATAACATATTTCAAGTAAAATGTTCGAAAAACAGAATAAAACAAATCGAGCTGTAACAAAAAATAACCTACATTGTATAACTGTATCACAAACAAATGTATTCCCACATAATAACAGTAACTACAGTACTTAGCTTTAATTAAAGGAAAAAGACATTAATAATGTTTTACGGGATTTTGTAACATAATATCTTGGTTTACTCGCTTATCGTACTCGTCGGTTGTTCATTGGATATCTATAGTTAGGAATTATATAGCATATACGTGAGGGTAATTTTATCTAAATACAACATTGATCAAGTTCAGTCGATGCGTTGCCTTTCCCACGGCTACTGCCTTAGTCTGCAAAAATTGATACATTCTCAACCTAACTGTACTGTGACGCATTAACAAAACTCACACAACGCCAGGGAAATGTTTCATACATATATTAATTGAGGACAAAGAAATGTCTTTTTTATACTTTCAAGTTGCTTTCCAAATTAAATTTGTGATTGCTTTTTTAACCGAATGTAATTAAATGCAATATCTTGTTTTCTCTTAATTTAACGGCAGTAATAAAAAAAATTGTTTCTTTGATATATTGTTACTACATCTACGAAAGCGACCGATACTTACATAGATATCGTAAATCAAAGTCATTAAAAACGAACAGGAGAGAACAACTAGTTAGTTCTAGTAAAAAGCATAGTACAAATAGTAATTATATATTGGTAATTAACATAAAACACCTAATAAGACATATAAACACGGGTCACGAGGCATGTGGCGTATGTAAACACATAGTGATGCGCTTGCTCGGCCACAGCTGACCGCCTGCCTGCCTGCCGGCCTGACCACCAGCTGCGCAAACATAAACTTGTACACTCATATATCTACTGATTACGGGGAAATAACATATATATATATGACGTCACAAGGCTGCTTAGCTTAAGAGAAACTGTCCATATCAATACGAGTTTACGAGGAATGTAAATTAGATCACTATATTGTTTTAAAATATAAATAAAGACGTGAACTTAAACTTTTCGTTGAAAATTAAAGTACTAGCGCCTAGTTTTCATAAAATTATTGATTAACTTAGCATAATTATTAACAGTAACCTCTGCGGTGTGCTAAATTAGAAACTCACAAGACATTAGACGCTAGTCCGCACATGGATAAGATTATTGGTAAGAACAAGAGCGGGAACAATTTGCATGACGAAAAAGACAAGGAAAATATTACTCAGAATTCTAAATCTACGTCACAATATTACATGGTAGGACTAAAAAACCGGGTTGTAACGATTTCAGTAATCGAGGAAACTGAGCGGGGTCAAGGAATGTGGAGAGCGCGTTTACCTCGAACTAGTGATTCATGGAACAGAGAAATGTGACAACGTAAGCACGCATTCCTATCGCCAGGATGAAGGGCTTACTAAAATAAACTTAGCAAAACTGAATCCCTTATCAGATTCTTGTTATCGAGCCAAACCAAACAAATATCACGGAAAATCCGATGGGCCACCTTTTTAAATCAGTGTACACATGTAATAAACACAATGAAATTAATTGAATTATATTGAGGAAATCTACCTCAGTTTGCAACTGTACTAGTAATACCATGAAGGACAAAAGACAAGGGTCCTTGGAGTAGGCCTCACCCTTGCGACGTGATGCGTTCGTTGGCGGTCATCCTGTCTGCGCGGCGCTTTTTGCAAGTATTGCAGGTGAGCGTGGGCGCACCACCCTCCCACAGTCCGCTCTTCCAAAACACCAGCCGACCCTCAGCATCCATTGAGCAACGACATTGCAATCACACCACGCACAAAGGAATCCTCAACTTACTTCACGATGACACAACACTAAGAAACACTACGTTTATCCTTTTCAATCACATTTGTCAAGATCAATATTGTTATTAAACAGTAGCCATGTGTGACGACATTAAAAAGTAACTCAATATTAAAAATCTAAAATATCCCACATGTCGCAACCAACACATGGCATGGTGGTGGCTCACAAAGTCACAGTCGAATGCCAAATCTTTATGTAACGTCAAACAAGATCATCCGAAAACGATTAACAAAACTGAAATCCCAAAATAAACGAGTGTAACCAATGTGGTGCGGCGAGCAGAGGCACGAGATCGCGAGACGAACTCCCTTCGCGACGTCTCTCAAAAGACTGCCTTTAAAGCACCACGCTTACGCTGAGCTGCGCGATCGCGGTCGCGGCAAACGCCATTGTAATCTCACTATGCACACACCGAATAAAATATCTCAGATTTACTTTAAAACAAACTTGATTGAACTCAAACAAAAACCAAGCCGTATAATAATTGTAAAAATTCTAGATTTCAATAAATTCATTGCCAATTTTAACTCTGCAATCAAGCTGCATTTGTTCACAAGCGCTATCTTTATATAGCTTAAAATGATCAAAATAAAAAGTCAATCCTCTATTTATGAAATCTCAAGTAAACAGATAAATCCTATAGAAAAAAATCCTACCTGCTCTATCCTATTCTAACATTTACGTCAACTGTATTGATTTAATAAGACGGATTTTTGGGAGGTAGTTATTTAGGTCGATATACGTTCATAATGGATGAATATGAAACAGGTCGATGAATGGTAATTAACTCTTATTACTACTTTTTAGTCTTCCCATAATAAATATGTATAAGTGCAAACTTGTTAGTGTTGCTATTTCGAGGCACATCGAGCAACACACCTTCCGTGGTTGATACTGTAACTGTATCCGTATTGCTTCTAATATGATTTATGGCTCCAATTAACCGTTCGCCTTCAGAGCGGTCGCAAAGCCGTCATAAATCAGGAAGCGAGAGTTTTTCACCGCATCGGATGCCGTTGGGCTTGGCTGCGAGCGAGTCTGCCGCGTGTTGGTCGTCTATAAATACATACGGATCCTTAGCTTTACGTGATGACCTTTTTATCAGCATCTGGTTGATCCTCGCTACGATAGATTGTAAATATTTGATTTTTGTTATTTAAATCACACTGATTTGTACCGTTTGGAATCACTTTCGCAATAGCTCGCTTGGGTGATAGCACTTGTTAATTGAGAAATTCATCGCAATGTGTCTATATGTCAATGTGTAGGTGACCTATTTCATAAGAAACGAGCGCAGCCGTCAGTAGATCATATCGAGGTGCCTCAGGCGCATCTATTATTCTGCCTGCCGCCTCATCTATGTTAAAGCATAGGTACCATATATATAATATTTTGACTGTTTTTCTGCCATAAACGCATAAAATCAAAAATAAAAACATTACTTTTAGTCAATGTATTAATCATCTTAATTAAACATTTGTCTGGTTAACATGTAGCAGGTCACCTTGCAGAAGTCCTTGCAAGAAGCGACTCGGATCCGGTTTGGAGGACGTCTTAGGTTACCGATGTACTGGAAGAACGAGATAATCTCTAACCTGATGCTAACAACTAATAAACATTCTCTAAGCTTCTGTAAGCATTATCATTATTGGCAACGGTATAAAAGTGTCGAGAAAATAAACTCAATTTTTCCATGTTCTTAAGAACACCAAACAAGATAGCAAACATAATTGTTTGGAAACAGTTATAAAAAGTATATTAATAATCGTATTAGCAAATATTGTAGCAATATTAGCACCGACGACTATATGTAAAATAGTTTCCTGTTAGTCTGGTTTCGGACCAATAAATACATTTTAAGCAGTAAAACGCGCGCTCCATGCACCCAATGACCAGGCCGGTTGCTCGCAGACCGGCGTGGCATGACGGTGAATCATGCCGCGGATGTCTTCTTGTGAGAATGTCAATAGCATAAAAAAATGACTTTACAGGCCACTTACATATTACTAATATTATTAAAGGTCTGTGAAGCAGCTTGTAGTAATATTTTTAGTTTATGACATTGATTGATTTGTGGCTAATAACAAAAATATAAATATTTATAGCCGGCTTTATATCGGAAACATTCAGAAATACTTTTAGTTATAAGAACATCAGTCTAGACAAGGACAATGTCTTCTAGTGGGGACTATATCGTTGCCACTGAGAGACTCTAAGTTACTCTTGATGTAAATTTAGGTTGATCGCTTCCAGAGTAAGGCCTCTCGGTCACGCGACTTTGCGTTAGCCTTCTTAGTTTTCCTATTTTCTTAAATCTCTTTATGTGGCACAGAATTATGTTATCGCGCATTTCTAAGAATTTCAACTAATCCCAGTGTACCAATGTGACAAGGGATGCAAGGGCGCTGCGACCGGGACTCGGGTTACGTCAGTTAGTTGTCAACGCTATTATTTTGTGGTAACTATACATTGCGCCGGTAAATATGGGGAAATCGCTGCTAATCTGCTAGTCAGTATAAATTGTTTGTATGTATGTATATTTGTAAATTTTCGAGGTGTCCTGGCGCAGCAGAAGACACACTGTCTGCTGGCCCCCGCCGATTGTCTCACACTACGCGGCTATTTCTGTGCCCAAGGCGCGTGCCCACGCATTCCTCGTATAGGAATTTTGTATTTTTGTCTTTTCAATCCCCGTCCCTTTCGATGCAATTGCTCCGCCACTGAGTGACATGATTTTAATTCACTGGACAACCGACAGCATTGGTGGACACAATACTACAACAATAATATGAATGCCATAGAACAAAATTACATCTTATCAAATTTTAATCACTAACCGTTGGTTTCTGAGACTAAGATGACCGTTTAAAACATATTGTTTTCTTTGTTTAATCAAAGATAATGACAAGGATCGCGATATGATTTATACAGGGATTATGTAAGTCCTGTACATCGAAGGTATACATGGCTACTGTGTGTAAATAGAACAGTAGCAATAGGAGTTGATTTGAAATAGTGCTTTAACTTTCAGGATATATTGGTTAATAACCTGGTCGTCTGAGACGTTAAGAAACTACTTTACATATTCTATTTCTTTACTATTCACGCGAAACGTTGTAGCGTGGGCCGAGTCGTTTGCCCTACTTACAAGTGGACGGTGTGGGTATTCATGGATCTGAATTAGTCGGTAGCAATGATACCATATAAATTGTTTGACATATCAAATGATTTTACGAGCGCAGTCATACATTAATAACCAAAATGGTTCTTTTATCAATAGTAACATTAAAAGTTAAACACTGGAGCCTACTTTTATGAAGCATAGGGATGTGTTTGTGTTTTGCCTGTCATCATATAAGCTATCAGTTGCGTCACTCTCTTGTCTAGTTCTAACAAATCAAGCTTTAATTTTACACATAATGTATAGAAAGTTTAAGTTCATGTAAACAAACATACATTCTTTTAAATCAAAAAAAAAGTTCATCCACAGTGATTCGGCGTGATCGGCTAAGCGGTCATCGGGAAGGGCTTACACGGCAGTCGAGCGACGGGTCAGCAAAGATCGACGACCCAGAAAGTGAGCAAATACTGCGGCCGCCCCCCGCACCGCCCTCTGCACCCCGAGCAAACCCACGCGTTAGCATTTAGCACTCGCGAAATGGAATACACGGCGCGGCTATAAACAACATTGTGTATCTGGACCGCCAAGTCAATAATCCCGCGTAAATATAGTGGCGGCGCGTGCCTCAGCGGTTGCAATACCTGCCCTCTATCTAGTCTCGGTACCTTCAAATCCTACAAATATAATTATACAGAAACACATCTTAACTAAATACTTACTATATTATTATAATATTATATTAAGGTAGATCTTATCTGCAGATTTGTATACTACGTAAATTAGGTTTCAGCGGGTCTAACCTTTCTTAACAACTTAGATCGCCGGATTTACTTTTTCATAAATTTTTCTGTTCAAAAGTATGGTCGACCATAAAAATGAACTTGTTGACAACGTTTTAATAAAAACACTTGATGATGGGAACTAGTTTAATGTCAGTCACAAGGAGACAGGATATCCTCCAAATTATGAAAGAATCCAAATTGACCTTTCCATGTTTAAAAAATAATAAAAATAGACGACTACAAAAATTCTCCGTAAAAAAAGAAAATTAATAAACAAGATTGTTGATGCTAAAGAAATAACAGCACCAAATTAATTTTAATTTAATCATGATGCGGTATTTTTATTACTAGTAAATAACGAAATATAGAAGCATCAGGTATGTAGTTGGTAATCATTATTTTTAACATCAATAAAAACATTACCGTTCGGAAACTTGTTTTGAGTTTAATAAAGTAAAAGCTGGATAAGTGAAACCTCTAGCGAATTTAGTTTAAAACGTATATGGAGGTCCTCGGAATTCATTCCTCGTTAAGCTTAGAGTTAAGAATGTGTTGATGAGTTATAAAAGGTAATTAACAATAACATAGTTGTGCATGTTTATTTAAGGAAACTGGTTTAAGGAAACGTTTACCCTTTGTTAGTCATTTATCCAGAGCAGTTGTGTCGTAATTCAACAATAAATCTAACAATTGATGGAACACTCAGTCCTTTTGTGCAATCGTCCTATCTGAGTTACGCGTAGCAACCGTACTGCAATGTTTGCATGTATTTTATACATATCGAGGAAAAAATAGTATAACTATGTAAACATACGTTATTGCTTAAATTATGTAATTTATTATAAAACGTGTACATTGCAAGAAATGCAATTCAGCGCAACCTCATTAACATGACCCCGATCGGAATACCGTTGAATGGGTCGTTGGTCGTCGCGGCGCTGCGTGCCGGCCGACGGTTGCGGGGTTGAGTCACGGCGCTCGGCCCTCGCCTTGCAGGTGCCGGCTACGACAATACAACTGCCCATAAAAGTGCCCCAGCCCGCACGTAATCGATAGCACCGCCTTGCCTTCCTGGTGCGAAACTAAAACATTTGTTGTACCTTTTAATGAAGGCTCAAGGCCTCCGACCCCACCCGGCACAACTAACGTGGCGAATAGAAACGACTTGTGGCATTATTTTAAAGTTTGTATCTATGAACGACTACGAGTAAATCTCTGTGGAATTCCGACCACTTTTGAACGTAACAAGGACCTCGATGATAGCTTATCTGACGCATTTACAAGTTATGTAAATCTCTTGTTGTTCTACTCTAACTTTACTACAATGTGGATTAAATCAAGACTAAACATGGTGCCTAAGTATCCTATAAACATAATTCACAATATACATGTATTCAAATTTATATAGTCGTAACCATGCCGCATTATACATAATAGTTCTCGCCGTACTGAAAGAAAGACCCGTGCTACGATCTAGATTAAAATTTCCGCCAACACTTGGAAACAATGGCGCTGTCAGGAATGTTTCCCGCGCGCGGGAGTCGCGGCCATTTTGTGACCCGTTACAATGAAAAGAAATTTTCGCATTATTGTACAACGCAGCTATCCGATGCTATGTTGTATTGTGTGAAGAAATAATTCTTGCAGTCAAAGGTTGAATGCCCTCACAGTCTTTTGTGATATCTATTGATCAAGAATAAATGAAACTGGTATGAGCTAGACATTAGTTATTTCACTCTGTGTTTCCGTAACAGAAAAATATGAACCTTAAACAATCAACTTACAAGTAAACTTAAAAAAAAAGCAATTATTACGACAACAATGATACCCATGTTATTCTCACTAAATAACCAATGCAAATCAATTAATTTACATTGAACTTTATTGATTATTTTGATCCAAATGCTGGTTATGTTATTAATGACAAACTTAAATTGTACTATACAAAATTAGCTTTGCACTTGGTGTACAGTCTCGCTCTTATCCCGCACATGTTGTAATATTGAATTTAGCAGTTATCATGGAGTATACATTTATTTTTATTATACATAAAGAAATTAATTTCCTAATGCAAATGTAAAAAATACTATGATGTTATAGGTTTTGTCATATTTCTAAATTAGTCATTAACAGGTAATACTAAAAATAACCAAACAACAAATATCCTGTACTTAAAGTCACAGATAAGTTTAAAATTGTCTATTTCAAGAATAAGAATAGGTGGTAAGGCCTATTAATGACTACAAAAACAATACAACTCACTCCAGTAACCCAGCGAGGATGAAACATACCGTGGACAGTGTAGACCTAGCAACTAGCTGGACTGGCTTTATATACCAAGGTATATAATTTTAATGGTATAACCTATTTCAACTTCAAAGTATCTGAAGGATGAATCAAAACTAGTAACTATGTGCTACAGTTTCACATGCAGAGTAATTACGATTTGTATATGTAATAAAAATATTTGATGCAAATTAAACAAACAAAACATTGGCTAGAAAATAATTATTTAACATTTGCTCTATGAATTAAATTATGAATGTCTTAATGTCAAGTAATGTCAAAGATTTTATTTTTTTCACATTTTTCCGTAAATTTTTTTTAGCCTATGCATGTTTTAAAAAAAATATTAAACTGATCTATGTATTCTATTTTTAAATTATTCTGTCAATATATTTTACAAGATTTTTATTTATACGTTTTGCAATTTTATAAGTTTTTTATGATTTTATAATTTGTAATTTTTAACTCAACATTTAAAGCTTATTCCATTCCTGACAATTTTAATGACCGCCTAAAATTTAAACAGAATTAACAAAAAAAGGAACCACGTCGAATTCCGGGATTTTTGATGTCAGGTAAATATCTACACAGGATTAAAAGATATGAAACTTGAAAGTAGGCAACGAGTTATTCTTACCTCTTTGATGAGATTTCCGTCATTTTAGCTGTATTCGCAGAACTAATGTTAAACACATACACAAAAGTCCATTATTTTCTATTGTTGAAAAAATTAAAGATCAGTCCATTATCACTTAAAATGATTGCAACTTCATAGAAAAATAAAATGTATGAGTTGTGAACAATTCAATGCATCGCAAGATTTTGATTCGTCGCGTGTGCTGTCAATCAGAGAAACCACAGACGTTAATTATGCTGTCACAATTACGCATTACGTTCCGACTTCCCTAAAAATTTTATTTTTGTAAAACTGTTGGTTAATTTTTGTGCGTAAAAAATGTTTTATTGTTTTTTGAAACAATCTTTTATTTTTTCAAAAATGATTATTCCCTATTCGAAAAATGTTAACTGTAACCGTTTAATTTTTGTACATACCTTCATTTAATTCTTAAGGATGTTCATGAAAAAGTACTCGACGATGATCTTTCATCAGCAATATTAGAATGTTGAATGTTAGAATCGTTAATTTTTGATAGTTGGCAATGACAACAAATTCTTTTACCGAGAGCAAAATTGCGTATAACGGATAACCTCATTTTTTCATGTCGTTTCTATGGTAACTCCATGTTGATAACAAACGCATGGCCAATGGCCGAGTTCAAAATTCTTGTGTTTACTGACATTCTGTCAAGCAGCAATGTAACCGGGAAGAATTTTCCGTATTGATTAAACAGTTGTAGTTTAACATTTAATGACTGCTTGAATTGTATATAGTTAGTCGTCACTGGATTATTGGTAACCATGTTCAAGAACACTTTCCAGTCGGGCTTTCTTTCAATTCTTTACAGCATAGGAAGTAAACCTCTACAAATATGGGATAAAAAAGTACGTAATGGTCACATTAAGAGAATAACAGACAACGACATTCAGAGTCTTGTCCTAGAAATAGTTGGGACCAATGTCAGCACTACTTACATTACATGTCCGGCAGATCCAAAGAAGACTTTAGGCATCAAACTGCCTTTTTTGGTTATGATTATTAAAAATCTCAAAAAATACTTTACTTTTGAAGTCCAGGTGAGTTGATTTAATGATTTAGATGACATTAATGTCGTTATTAATAATAATTATCAAAAGCTTAATTTATTCACAATTGAATATTTCAGGTTTTAGATGACAAAAATGTGAGGAGAAGGTTCCGTGCAAGTAATTATCAGTCGACTACTCGCGTAAAACCCTTTATATGTACAATGCCTATGAGACTTGATGAGGGATGGAATCAGATCCAGTTTAACCTTGCCGACTTCACTCGACGGGCATATGGAACAAATTATGTTGAAACACTTCGTGTTCAAATTCATGCAAATTGTCGCATTCGAAGAGTTTACTTCTCTGATAGATTGTACTCAGAAGACGAGTTACCTGCTGAATTTAAATTGTTTTTACCTATACAAAATAAGACTAAAACTGCCGTAGCTACATGAAAATGTTTTTTCTACAAAAAATTATTGCACAGAACATATCGTTTAAGTCATTCAGTTTTTGTCAGGCATCAAATAATCCTTCTTATATAATTTTAATATGTGGTTTTGTTTTCTTCAGTAATAAAATCTTTTATTATTGAATTTGTTGTTTATTACATTTTTACTCCTTATTAGCAAGTATATATGATTAAAATTCTTGTCTTAATTTCCCAAATAATCTGAAAGCGTAGTTTTATTTTATAAAACTTTATATAGAAGTTTATTAAATTTTACAAATTTAATATAGACATTGCTACTATGTATAAAAAAGGCATGTATTCCTCGATTGGTGAGTAAAGAATAGGCACTAGAAAGTCTATAAATAAATGGTGATGCTTGGCTTTTGACATGAGGCGAAAGTACTACCCAAACTGTTATCTAAGTGTTATTATTTCAATATTTAGGACTTTATAATAAGATTTTTAATTATTATATTGTCTCTGGCAAGTGGAGTATTGGGATGACATGGCAATACAGCACGACAGTGACAGTCAGATTGTCCCAGAAATGTCTATGAATCAGTGTTGCCAATGCTACGGCAATTGCCGTGTTCTAAGAATTTCTAGCTAAGAAATGACAAAATCCACAGTTTACGGCCGTAACCCTAAGGCCGTTACAAAATCTACAGGATTTCGAATATCTAAAATAATAATTTATTTTTTTATAGAAATTCCTTTTCAAAGCGTTAGGAGTGTGAATTCGTCTCCCAGTACCTCTTTAGTCTTAAAGGTTGGCGCCAACTTGGAATATTGAAAGCAGTATGGATAAAATACGTAAATAACTTTTTAATGAACAGTAATGAAAATAGTCGCTAATTAACAATTATTTGTGCAGGGAATAATGAAATTTATCTAACACACATGCAAGAAAAATTGTGTTTTACAATTTAAACACAGACAGAAATAAACAGCTTGCCATCATTTCAATATAATATTAAAAAAAAGTTAAACAGCGTAATTCGGCGAATGTTGAGACATGTTTCCTTTTTTCTCTTTTTCTCTTTCTTTTAGCAGAACTCAGCTGTACTCTTTGTACACGGCTGAGTAAAAAATTTTGTTGGCAACACTGCTATAATTTATACGGTGATTGGTGATGATTTATAAAAATGGGGCCGCTTGTTTCTAATAAGAAATTATTATTTTTTGTGTATCAAATTATTTTACTTTCATTAGTAGCCCAATGTTATTCGAACGAAATTCTCGGATGTGGTGGATTTGTAAAAAGTCACGTTAACTTAGATTTTTCTAAAATAGAAATAGGCTTGTAAGTTAACCTCTTGTTTGCAAATTAGATTATAACTTGCACGTATTAATCCAACTAGATCATAAATTAAAATGGAAAAATTTTATCATTTTGTTTAATATAGTACAAAGTTAAATAGTAAATTCAAACTTATTTTACCTGGTTTCGTTAACCTTGATATTTTTTTAGGTACACCAAAGAAGGAATTCTCAAAGAAAAAACGGAATGCGCTCCGACCAATGGATATTATTTTCTACCTATGTACGAGCACGGGGAATATATTTTAAAAGTACATCCCCCAGCTGGTTGGAGTTTTGAGCCTTCACAAGTGGAATTAGTGGTTGATGGTGAAACAGACCAATGCTCCACTGGAGAAGATATAAACTTTGCCTTTAATGGTTTCGGTATAACAGGTCGAGTGATAACTGCTGGCCAGAGTACCGGACCCAGTGGTATAACTGTGCAGTTGGTGGATGGTAGTGGACATGTTAGGGAGACTGTCAGTTCAACTAGTGGAGATTTTCATTTCACCCCAGTAATCCCTGGAAAGTACACACTTAAAGCATCACATTCAAAGTAAGTTAAAAAATAGTAATTAGACTTCTACTATTTATTTATTTTTTAATTTATTGAAGTAACTTACTCTGAATACTTTTACCACTTGCCACTTGTGCATTTTGTGAGTATTATGAAGCAATGTATTTCCAGATGGAAGCTGGAGCCAGCTCAAGCAGTGGTGCAGGTGAAGGAGGGGAACACAGCACTGCCTGTGGGAGTGCTTGCAGTTAAGGGATATGAAGTGGGGGGCTTAGTTACATCATTTGGTAGCCCTATTGCTGGAATATATGTCTTGTTGTACTCTAAAGTGGTAAGTACCATATGCAAGTAAACAATTGTGACTAATATAAGTCAAATATAAGTTTAGTTTTAATAAAAAAAATGTACATAAAATATAAGTTAAATTATTAGTTGTATTTGAAATAATGTTATGTCATAATCTATCTACAATTATTCACATAAATAATACAATTTCAGGAGAAACAGAAGTTCCGTGTGGAAGGTTGCAATACTGCACTACTGCAAGGTGTACCGGACTCTCCAATATGTCACTCTGTGACGGATGCATCAGGGGAGTTTCAATTTGGACTGGTGCCGGCGGGAGAATACAAACTGTTGGCTCTGTCCAAGCCCCCCGGACAGGCAGCTGTCAGCTACAACATTCAGCCAGACAGTGTGCCTTTTAGCGTGAAACATGATAACATTTACATCAAAAATGCTTTTGAGGTTAGTTTTGAGAAATGTTCTAGAATTGGAAAAGGAAAATTGTTTCAACATATTTTATGATACCTAAGTAACGTTTTTTATCAGGTGACAGGATTCACAGTAGTAGGATCAGTGCTGAATGCCCCCGGGGGTGAAGGTATGTCCGGCGTGCGCGTGCTCTTCGATGGCACCCCAGTCGGCACTACCGATGCTACCGGCAAGTTCACACTGCCCTCCCTCAAGCCAGGACTCTACACACTCACCTTCCAACATGGTCAGTTTTTAACAAGAAACGCTTACTTTGAATATAAAATTTATCACAGTATAATTTAGCTTATGTTTTGAGATGTCTCATTTTGTTATTGAAACATTGTGCAGAGCAGTGCGAGGTGGAGGAGGTGCATATGGAGGTGGGTGCGCGGGGGCCGGCGGGCGCGGTGGTGGGTGCGGCGGCGCGGTGGCGCGTCTGCGGGCAGGTGTCCCCGCCCGAGCAGCGCCGCGTGCAGCTCGCCGCGCACCACCACCTCCACCACGTCACGCCGCAGCCTGATGGTGACAGATATATACATCTGAAACATATATTATTAAGTTTTCCTCAAATTATATTTGATTTGCGTAACTTAGTTGCGTAGTGATTTTGGTGATTTCATTCATAATATATCACTTTTATGTTTTTACATTTACAGGGACTTGGTGCACATTCTTAGCACCTGGCACTTATACGGCCAAAGTCGAAGTCTCCGAGGAGGAGTTGAGAGATGGATTGCAGTGAGTAAAAATAATAACACGTACATAACTTTTTTTTAAAGTATTGAAAGAAAATACAGTAAAACTGTATGTGTGCAGATGGTACCCGGCGAGCCGGTCAGTGGTGGTGGGGCGAGGCGGCGGCGTGACGGAGGTGACGTTCTCTCAGGTGCGTGCGCGCGTGCGCGGCCGCGTGGTGACGCATGACGTCACACCCCCAACCACCGCCACCCCCACCCTGCGTCTGCGTCTGCGCACCCTCGCACCTGACGGCGGCTACGCCTCGCGCGCACCACTCCTCACCACCCAGCCCAACGACAGTTAGTACTTAAACAATTAGAAACAGAAGGAAGATAACAAAAAGAAAAAGCTTCCTGTGCTGACTGACAAATTAGTTAAGCCAATGCTATAAGTGTAGACTTGTAAATATATATATGTTAACTATCTTGTGTCTATTATAGTCACTTTCTAGCTGTAAGTCTACCATGTAAATAAATAAATAAAAAATCATTATATTCAAATCAGAAATTGAATGCAAGAAATTGTGTTTTTAATACAAATTTTTACATGTCAGAGGGCGAGTACGAGTTCAGCGACGTGGTGCCGGGCAGCGTGGAGGTGTCGGTGGAGAGCGCGCGGCTCTGCTGGGCGGACTCCAGGCACAACGTGGCCGTGGCCGGGGAGCTCGCCCTCGTGCCGCCATTCGAACAGGCCGGCTACCTGCTGCACATCGTCTCCGACCAGGACATCGAGGTGCGCTCCGCCCCCCACCCCCACCCCC